ATAATGGAAAACAGATGCGATTTATTATTAATGCTTATTACCGAATATCTTTACCAAAGGAGATTCGACGTAAAAAAAGAAAAAAAATTGAAATAGAAGGAAAGGAAAACGAAGAAACGAGATTAAGGAAAAAGGATCCAAGCGACAACAAAGCTTATTGCAATTCATCCTTCTCAACGAGTGATGCTGCAGGCTGTCACCAACGTCGACACCGACGGTGTGTTGAAATAAAATGAAAAATGCACGATGCCTTTTCATTTGGTATCAACCAGGACATGACTCTTTTCCAATGTTACAATTTAATTAAGAGAACGTATATAATATACATGTGTTTTATATGTATAATAAATATAACACGTCAACTTGTCGAGTAATTACATGTCCAACCATCAAATATTTTGTCTAATTAAGAGCATGAAATATATATATATGTATATGTTTATAAAATATCAATTTTCCCATTGGCTGTATTATATCAAATTATTCACGTGAATTATTTTGTCTATGAGAAGTGGCCAAAATATCACCACTGTTGCATTGGGTTTAACACAATTGTTCTAGACACCTGCCACAGCAAATATACAGTTGTTGTAAGATGTTCTTGAAACTGAATAGATTTATTACAAGTACAAACTAACGATATTATATCAAAATCTTAACATATAGGTACTAATGTATTTTTAAAACAATTAATTATAATTGATGAGTACGCACGTAAATGAAGAAATGGCAACATTTTGTCTTATAACGAGTAAATTCAAACATGCGAAAGAAGTCATTACGATTTGATATTTAAACTGCAATTATAATGAACATTAAAATGTATTTGTAACTTTCAACAAATTCAAAATATTTTTAGACGAAATTAAATAAAAATAAAAAATAAAAATAAAATATATATATATAATTATTATGAAAATATTATATATAGTGTGAAGAAAGCAGAACTAGGTCAACCAACCAAATTTAATGCTTGCTATACGTTTAAATTGAGAAATATTTTCCAGATAATATTTCAAAATGTTATCTGACAAAAAGATATTTACAATGTTACAAAGATAATATTCAAAAGGAATCAAGATTTTAATGTTAGATTTGCGAAGTACTATTGTATATTGTACCTTGTTTTAATCCAATATTCTTCAACAACGTCAGATTAAATTTTTAATTAATTGTTTTTTTAAGTATTTAAGTTTTTATTGTTTTTATTTCATATCTAAACTATATATGTTTAAATTAATAATATTATAACATATTTATATATAGGGACGAGTTATTACTTTTTTTTTTTTTCAGTAAAAATATAAAAAAAAAAAACAAGGGCATAATACATTTTCATTTTTCGAAGTAGACTTTTAATCTTGTTGGAAAAAAATGGTAGAATATTTGTTTTCCTCTCGTTATTTTCTAAACTAAAATTTCAAAATGTGCTTCGTGCTCGTTCTCTCAATCGGTACGTAAAGCCAAATCTTGTTGGAAAATCATCAAGCGAAAACATCCATGTAAGAAAGGGCGATAAGTCAGTAGATTCTATGCACGAAAGCACGTCGGATATAAAGCGAGCACTATAGAGTGGGCTTTTAAGATCGCAGGAGATTACTGAAAACAGTATACAGTTCGGATTTTATACGAACCCATAGTCGAGGTAATCACCACGGAATCTTATGAGATAGAAGTTAATACGGGCACGCCCGTATCTGACGTTGCGATGCTCTCCACGTGATTGTGTACAATTACCAGCCACGAAGGAAGATAGCAATGTCATAAGAACCCACTTTTCTACGTTGAAACAAGACAACGATCGTTTTGATCCCTCATTGACAACATTTTCCAACTCGTTTATTTTCAATTTCATTTTATTGTTAATCAAAATAATTATTTTATTCCTTTAGTTACTTATTCTTGTTATTTTTCTCTTTCCTTTTATATTCCTTATCCCTGTTTCTTTTTCTTTTTTTATTATCTTGATTGAAAAACTGCAATATCATTATCATAAAAAGATTTAGGTAAATTAACCTTTTAATTTCGACATAGATCTCAACAACATTTCACCGGCCTTTCGTTTAAAATTACGTTGCTGCTAGGACAATTACTTATTGTTTTTTCTTTCTTTCTTTCTTTCTTTTTGTTTATTCTTAAAATCTACTCTAGCATTTAGTGTAAAAACGTTTAAGGAAGTTCTACCTGTAATCTCAACGTTAAAACGACAGAAACCCAGTTACTTTAATTTCTATTGTTCTCGAGAAAAACTTCTTTTAAAATCTGCTTGGTTCGCGAGCCCTTTTTTTTTTAAATGAAATAACTGACTTTCGCGCTTTTGAAAATATAACACGTGTGTCCAAGTTTTTCTTTTGAAACTATGTACTAGATAAAAAGAAGACGAAAAAAAAAAAATGTTAAATATACTTTAAGTAGATTTATGTAATTTGTAATATTCCTACTTTCTAAGTAAAGCAGATTTCTATGTTTCTATGTAAGACGTTTGGAATTGGTCCAAGAATAATTTTGAAAAGATCATAGAGATAGAAAAGAAAAAGTATAGTGGAAATTAAAAATGTTTAACGATATGGGAAAAAAATTCACTACTCTCTCTTTCTCGTGAGAGAACAGAGACAGTATAAGAAGTATAGTTTCGTGTTCTTAACTTGAGATACTTTTGATAAAGTTAACATCTTGTTCAAACTTTACCTACATCGCGGTATGATATTCAAAGAAAATCAAATGGCAATATTGACGATTGAAAAAGAAGAAAACTCTCTTCTCTTGAAAGGACCATGAACAGAAGATTCTATTGTTTTTTATGTAATGTATAAATGAGAGAAAAATGAAAAGAAAATAATAAAAATCGATAAAAAGTATATCGAGCTTCAATTAAATATAAATATATATATAAGTACTTATTAAAAACACATTCAATTAATAAAAATAAAAATCTTATCGGTTACATTATTTAAATTAAATGTATCAAATTAATTTCTGACATAAATGCTTTCTTATTCTTATATTCTTTCTTTCTTTTTTTTTTTCTTATTCTTAACCTAGTTTTATTTCTACCATATCAATAATCTTTAGTAATTGTCTGTCGTTACTATTATTGCATTTCATTTTCCAATAAAAAAGTCTATAGACGTCTTGTTTATCTAATTAGAATACCTCAATACACTTGAAAATAAAGCATACTTGAATGAGTACAATCGAATAATAGGATTATTTCTCATATCTAACATCAATTTTATACTGAAATTTCTATTCAGTCCTTGATAATTTAAAAATTAAAATGAATATTGAACTTATAGAAAAAAATTGTAGAAAAATAAATCAACACAGAATATGTTCGAATAGATATTATTTTTAAATGGGAAACATATTGTGACATAAATTTATTTCATTCAGAATTTCATCATATCGTGTCAATTAAGAAATAAAAACGTACTCTGTTCTAGAAAAAAGGTTTCGTATATAATGTAAACTATATAAACTAACAATACTTGACCGTAAAAACTACGCTATATTGCATAAATTTCTGAAAACTTCATCGACTTCATGATGGGTCTTCGTTAGTTCTTTGTTGTTGAGAATAAAAAAGAATTTCAAAGATTTTTGTGTTTTTCCTCTGTTTTCTCTCACGAGAATTCATTTTTACCTTTCGTTTTATTATCTTCACAAGAATTATATTTTTTTTTCTTTTTTACATAATTAAAAAAAAAACACACATTTTTATAAAAATATACGAGTATAAACATAACTCTACTATCTCTCTCTCTCTTTCTCTGTCTCTCTCTCATCTCTCATAAAACACAATCTACCTTACTTTAATCTCATTTTCCAATATCAAACGTACCTGCATTCCATAAGCTTCATTTTATTCCTCCTTCGTATGATAAAAAAGATAAGAAAATAAAAATGATTCTATTTTTATAAAAGAAAACCCATAAAAGTTATGCCATTAAGATGCCATAGAAATATGAGTTTTATTTATTTTTTTAGATATATGGTTCTTTACCATTTTGATTTAACATTATGAAATAAAATATTGTATGTTTAAAATGAACTCAAAAAAATGTACAAACGTAATTTATTTTATCTCTGCCACTTTCTCTATTTCTCGCTCTCTTTCTCGCTCTCTCTCTCTCTTGTAAATATACATCAAATGGCAAGTAATAAATAATATAAATCAATTACTTCATTACAAAAGATAAAACAGTCGCTAATTCCGATTATCCCCAGGTGACAATGAACCTGCCAATTATAATGCAGTAAATAGGGAAGCAACATGAGAGAATATGAATTCCTAGGACATTTCTCTGTCAATAAAATACCTTCATGTTATTTCATGACATTCAATATCGAACATTCCCAATTGTCTGATAAATATCGAAACGTTTCACTATGAGTTGAACGTCGAACGAAGGAGAGGTAATCCTAACCAAAAAAGAAAATACGTGGCTTGAAAGAAGAAGAAGCAAGGCTTTCAGAAAAGTCTGCCAGCTTTCACGAAAACTCGTAAAAGCTTGGACGAGAAGAACGGTAAAGGCTAATGCATGGGAATTGGTGAGAAAGGCATCAGTACTGGTAGTTCTTCTACTCACGTTAACTCACGTGAACTCACATGTTCCAAGAGTTCGAGCAAATGAAGATTCGTTATGGGAGCCAGTCTTAATGTATGTATATATATTTATGTATGTACATAAAAGAACGCACTTTCTTTACTAAGGATACATGATGAAAATATCTGCCGAATAAGTAAAGGCTTCTTATGTAAGCGAGAATATTATATTCCAAAAAAGAAAATATAGGATAAAAATCTCTTAGGATAATCAAAAACAATCTAAAGGGATCAAAAATAGCTATCTTAAGGAACATCAAAGTAATGCTGCGATAAAGGCAAGAAGAAACAAAAGTATTTACGAAATCAGAAAATTATGGGTGAACAAGAAAAAAGTGGAAAGAAAGACATCGATCTTATTCTTGTTCGCATCAATCACATCAATAATGGTTACCTTGTTCGCCAGCTCGTACAACGGTGATCGCATGAATCGCCAAAAGTACGAGGGGGAGGGCGAGGGTGGTAGTGTGCTGTATATAGCGGCACATCTCCAAAACGAGAAGGACCAGTCCCTACGTACTGTCCTTCATTCCCCCTTTAGCAAATAACGATGCAACCAGATTAGGGTTGACCAGGGAGACGGAAATTACGAGGACAATCCAACTGTTCTCGACACACTGATACAATATACACACGTTGTTCTATATATATTGAATATATATATATATATATATTCCTCTCTATCTCTCAACACAAATATCACTTAACTAGCATCTGGCACTACACATACGTACACTGTCTCCGTGAGAAAGCCCTTTAATTTTAATCCAAAATATTCGTCTGGCAATCGTTCTCTTAAATCCACTAACACGTTGTAATCATCAATGGTGAGATGCAAATTAGTTAGCCCCAGAAAAGAGAACATCCTGTTCAAATTCATGCTTCTTCGTATTTCACGGCACTTCCACGGAAGACCGATGGAGACAGAAACGAATGAGCAGCGAATGGAGGGTGGTGCCGTGTGCGAGAATGATCAACGACGAACTTTGCAACGATGAGGGCGAAGGGGATGAATGCTGTAGTAACCTGACACTGTGTTATGTAGCAAACGTATACGTACACAGTGTGTATATTAAATGAACGCACGTTAGCTGACTATAGCCTGTTAAACGTCGGCCCATTAGATCCAACGGTCTAAATATCGCTAACGATAATGTGACCTTTGAGAGTCATACTGGCCACGTGTCCCCGTTACACCGATCACGCACACACACGGAATACACGCTACACCGATAGAACCGCGAACGACTTTAACATAAATATAATTTAACGATTTCCTATATTTGGGATAATAAAATAAACCGCGAGTTCATCTCGTGAGTTTCATAGGTTATCATGAGATCTTGTCAACTCGTTATCAACGTTATTATCAATAACAAGAATCAACGCATACCGATCATTTTAGCGCATGCATCTTGTAGCTAAAAAATTACATTTCGTTCAAAGCTCTAACCGGAGATATATTTATTAACCGGATACAAATTTCCTTTATACAGAATTTTTTCAAATAATTCATTTCACGAACATACGAACTCAATAGCATGATATTCGAAAAATTATAAACATCGTCGAAACAAAAAGAGAGAGAGAAAGAAAAAGAGAAGGAAGAAAGAGAAAGAGGAAAGAAAGGAAAGGAAAGGAGGGAGGGAGGGAAGTACACTGATAAGACACTGAATAAACTGATGTACAAACACACTCGCGCGTGTACGCACACACACAAAACACAAAATGTATATCGTTGCCTCTCCGTTTGCCTCTTCAACGCACAGCTCCCGTCTCTGAGCGGGAAAATAAACTAACTAAACCTCTTCAAATAAATCCAAGAACGAAACACACTCAATGATTCTTATTACGTAAAAAATTACATAGATAATCGATTAATTAATTAAAACTAAAGTATTGTTAATCACTTAATAATCTCAATAACACTTGTGTCTATTCGTATCAAAATGAATTTCAGCATTCACATGAAACAAACACCAACCAATCGACTTTTAATACTATTTTTTCAAACGTAATTATCCACTTGTCAAGCTTCAAATTGCTTCTCCAAATGTTAAACCGTTTAATACCACCTTTTGAAAAACGATTAAAGGGACACAAGTCGATCGAATGAAATTGTACATTCGTTACTGTCCACTTTGTTTAAATTGAGTACACTCTTCCAACTGCGAGAAGAAGTAAAGAAATTTAAACGGCATGCTGATTGTCATCCTTTCGAGAAATCTCGTTAGCTGAAGTACACGTAAGAGGAAAGGTGAAATAAAATAAAATAAAATAAAATAAAATAAAAAAAAATAACAGGCAACAAGACGAACAGAACTATATGAAGTGCTTCAACAAAGAAGCCCTTTGAAGAGCAGATGCAGCAGTAGCAGTAACAACAGCAGCAGCAGCAGCACGTACCCGACCTGTGACGATGCGAGCCGTGCGAGCCCGAATGAACGGATCGCGCGACTCACTATGCTGCCCGATACCAACCTCGATTCAACCCACCGCCCTACTCTCCTCTCTCACTCACTCTCTTCACTCTCTTTCTCTCTCTTTCACATACCTACATGATACACTCTCTCTATCTCTCTCTATCTCTTTCTCTCCCTTTCTATCTCCCATTCGTCCAGTTGCGCCGAAGCGTCGCGCCGTCGCGCTATTCCTGTCCGACCGAAACTGCTGTTTACTACTTATCTCCTCTTTTTCAACCACATCTCGATCGCCACTCTACTCCTACTGCCACTAAACGCGTCATACTTGCAAATCGAAAAGTAAAGGAATAATAAAGCCATTATAGACCATATTCGATTTGTTGTTGGATTTTGTATGATTTTACGGTGACACTATAAACGGTAATAAAGTTAATGGCAGTTAAATCCAAAATGATTGATTTAGATTTAGTATATTTTCTTTTTTTTTTCTTTTCTAAAATATATAAAATATCACGTTTAATTGTAAAATATAATATTAGTAGATTTTTATTAACTTTCATCATTCATAGTAAAAATTTGTTCAAAATAAATGTTTCTTTTGTAGAAGAAAATATTTCAAGATTTTACTGTACTCGTCCCTATATTGGCAGTATTATGTTATTGTTATAGAAAAAAAATATGTATATTATAGTTATATTTAAAAAATAAAAATAAAATATTTCACATGAATAAAACGTTTTTGTATTATTGAATTTCTCTCTTGGAAACGTGCTATTTTGGCCTAAAACGTTCTTTTGTGTGTGTTATCAAATATAATAAAGTTTATTCAAAAATTTGATAAAACACTCTCTCTTTTTATATATAAAAGCTCTAACTGGATTTTTACAGTATGGTTAACCCGTTGCCTTTATCTTTTCACAATGAAGTTATAAATCCTTAAAAATACAATTTTTACGATAGTCTTTAATTCGTGGTTTTTATTTATCACATTTACGTAAAAATAATATAGAAGTTACAACATTGTTGATGGTTTGAACAGGCACGATATATACGATCGCATGTATACATATGTGTATATATATATGTTAGATTAAACGAGAACAGATCGAGGGGATAAAATGTTTTGTATGCATCGAAGCTGATCCGTTTCTCGTTGGTTCACGAAACAAGAACGATCGTAATTAAAAAGTTTAGCTTGATTGGTCATCGCGCGGACTCGTGGCAGTTTGTTCTCGACAAACAGAGCTCGCTGAAGTCAACTGCAACATCGGCGAGTTCGCTATCGAGCCTCGCATACCGCAACCTTCCGGAAGTTGAAAGCACCACTTGTACGTGAAATCATTCGGTTTCTATCGGATGTATTTGACCGATCGAATTCTCGCGTTTGTGACGTTGCTTGATCTCTGATCGGTGCCAAAAAAAAAAAAAAGAAATTATTTGAGGATATTTTGTAACTAGTACGTATACACATGCATCGCTATAAATAAAAATAATTAATAAAATATCTATCAAATGCAGCAAATAATATCGATAAAGCAACATATTATACAAATATTCATAAGATATCAATTGCTGCTGGTCAAAGACATAAAAAGAAATACTACAAAAAAACAAAACAAAACAATACAACAACAAAAAGATAAATAATATGTCTATCAATGTGGCTATTGCATAGAGGAAATTCCATGGGGGAATGTGTCAAAGTGATACTTAATACCTAGTACGTGGAATGCACTTGTAAGTAGAAAATAACGATTCCCATCGGACAAGGAACATTAAGCAACGACTAGTGGTGCTACCACTTCGAGTCATAGAACGCGTTAACTCTTCTACCATTGGTCTAACCTAAGGTCCAACATCAACCTCGCTCAATCTTTTCGCATGTCTTCGCCACACCGGTCAACAAAAAGAATGTTTTCGGAAGGCGACGCGGAGCACAGTTACTACTAGAAGAATACAGTGAAAAAGAGACAAGAAAATAAGATAAAAGAAAGAGAAAATGAGAAAGAATGAGTATAATTTCAGATATACAGGATACTCGACTAATGCGTAAAAGCACAACCAAAGAAATAGAAGAAGAAGAAGAAAGAAAATCACTTCTCAGTTTAAACGTTCTTCTATTAACTTCGATCTACATTAGATGCTTACATTCACGTAACAAAGTAGCTTTCAAAGAAACTAAACGCGAAAAATTTGAAACGAAAGGCAGACGTTGAAATAAAGAGATCAAAAAAAAAAATCAAAAATTCAACGACAGATGGAAGAACAAGAAAAAAATTTTGAAACAATAGAAAGAAGTATAAAAAATTTAATTTGCCCACTATAGAATGCTGTTTTAAATGCAGTGTCAATGAATACATTAGATCTCGAACGATCCTACCAAAAATTTTCCTATGTGTTTTGATTAAAACTGATATTGCGAACGATGTTCTCTCACCCGTTTTGCTTCTCTCTCTCTCTCTCTCTCTCTCTCTCTTTCATGTTTTCATGCTCGTCGTTGATTAATCGTGCCGTTGCGCTCGCATTTCTCCTCGCAAAACGTACAGGAAATATATCTTTAGAAAGATGGAGACCAGAACGTGATCTCTCTATCTCTTTCTTTCTTTTTGCTCTCTTTCTTTATGTTTATTTTCATCTCTCTTTATCTGTCTCTCCTCTCTTCCTCTCTTTCTTTTTTTCTTTTAATATTAATCGACATCAATGCACTTTGAAGCCCTGGAATTATCATTATCCTTCCATAGAGTAATCCATATAAGATCGATAGTTCGATATAAAAGAAATCATAGATCAGGAAAGTGATTTCTACCTAAACGACAGTATAACTCGCGAACGAAACCAAGCTTTCCTTCTCAACTAAACTGCAAACTTCTCTGACCAAGGTGCAAACAACAAATAGAGCGTATGAAACTATCGATCTTTCTGCCAGTAAATTATCGATTAATTGAAGAAATTAGCTGCCGATGTTACGTTTGAAAAAAAAAAAAAATAATAAACAATCGTATATAATTGTAACACTAACTGCGATTTTAATTTAATTCATTATAGCTTAATTATTTGTCTCTTATAAATATATAATAAAATAAATAAAATAAATAAAATAAAAAGTTTTACTCCTACAGAATAAATATTAATTTAATCATATCAAAATAACAATTAATTTCGTAATAAAAGAATTATCTATATAAGATATCAAAATATGCACATAATTATATATGCACTTAATAATATTATAGAAAATTAAGACGTTTATACCGACTCGATATAGATAATTCTTGATATTGTTTTTATCGATATATCGCATATGTTTGTTATCATTCATATATGTACATTGATGCCACGTACTCGTCATTCATTATTGAAAATAAAATCTATTCTGCTATCTATGATGAACGATATGGATATGTCATGTATATACTATACAGAACGCATCGACAATTGGATTGCATCGGTTATTCTTTGTCATCGATTGAGAAAGCCGCTACACCAGGCTACCAAGCGACATACAGCTATCGGAAAAAACACAGAACGAGATGATACATTTATTTTTAGCCATACGCATTCGCGCGTAATAAATTAAAAACCATCATGTCCCCCATAGCGATATTCGCGAATACGCGTTGTCGATAAAAAAAAAATTACCCAATTGAATACCTCTATATGTATACGAAAATTAAAAATAAAAAAAAGAAAGAAGAAAAAAACAGTTGTTGCAAGGGCAGTAATACGGGTTACTATCTCTTTTCATTTCTTCTTCTTCTTCTTCTTCTCTCTCTCTCTCTCTCTCCCTCTCTCTCTCCCTCTCTTTTTCTCCCTCCCTGTCTATGCACTCGACAATAACCACACTCTCAAACGCATATTGAAACTGCAAATACGCTGATAACAGTAATTAACGTAGCAATATCGATTCGGTTTATTGCCATTACAATCGAGACGTCATATGGTTGTTAAACCCTTTTGATCCTTTCGGCATTATGCTTGTTCACAAATACCATCATGATAATTAATATCATACAGCTTCATTTTATTATTTTCACTTAAAGAGTAAGAGTAATAGAATAAAAATAAAAAATCAATTGATTTAATCTTTGATTAAACAGAATTTTTAATCATCGATTAATTATAACTTATACGATTAAAAAATATAATAACCTCATAAACCCTTTCAATTTTTAGAAATTTCCTTACCAAGCATTTACTGGATTTTTGGCTACTATAATCCTGGAGTTTCAGCTAGATGAAATATTACGTTGCCTAATTTTTTCATTCACCCCTTTTTTCATCAAATTTTGTACCGATGATTTTTCAAATTTCCTACATTTTTTTCTCCTATCATAGAAACAAGTAAAATAAAATCACATCCTTTTGAGATGCCCGTCATAAATATTATAAAAATAAAAAAAAAATAAAAACACAAGCAGATCCGTTAAAGTATTAAATCTGAAACAGATATGTTAATAAATTAAACACTTTATTAACAAACATATTTAAAATGGACTTTTAAATATATATATATATTTCATATTTAGTGTTTATATGTGTGCCTTCAGAAATGCATTTATACATATATTATAAAAAACAGGAGGAGAATCAAAAAGGTTTGTTGTTAAATCCAACGAAGATCACCTGTAACAAGAAGAAAAATATATTAATCATCTATACTTGGAATAACTATAAAAAATTATTGACGAGCGAAATAATAAAACAATTAAAATATAAAATGACCAACGTGCTATTCGCAAAGATTCAACTATGCTGTTGAATTTGCAAATAACTCATTGAGTCTGTAGTTGCCCTCTTGAGCCACAATTAAGTGGGGGCCTCTTCGGCAATTAGCCTCTTCTTTTCTTCATACTTTTCTGCAATTGGACATTTTCGTACGTACAAGCAAAATTAGAGTCTCTGATAAAATATATCCATCATTCAAAAAGTGTACTATCAGAATATGGCATTCTAATTCTCAATTACTAAAAGATTAATTTACATTTAACGCATTTACTTTTCTAACTCGTGGACCATCAATGAACTTA